GAAACATATTGAGATAGACTATCACTTTATTTGAGAAAAAGTTTAGTAGAAGCTTATATCCATCTCTCATGTTAAGACAGGTGACCAACTAGCAGATATATTTACAAAGGCTTTAAATGGGACACGTAGCAATCATATTTGTAACAAGCTAGGCATGATTAATATCTATACTCCAGCTTGAGGAGGAGTGTTATGAATAGCTATGATAGACTTATTAAGATTAGGGTTTATGTTAGTATTATAATAACGGACTTGACCCAATAGGGTTACATATATATCCTTATAAATATAAGAGTCTCTACACATTGTAGTGTATTCAATTCCAGCACATTAATTTGTCTCTCTCTCTCTCTCTCTCTCTCTCTCTCTATGCTCTCTCTCTCTCTCTCTTAATTCTACAAAGGTTAAGATAGGGAGACCCCATATCCCCTTACCTCTTCATTTTAGCCTAAAGTCTATCATTTTTGTTAGGAGGAGCTATCTCATGCATATAACTTGCTCCAAAATTTATAAGCACCAAGTGGATCATGTTAGTCCTCCTGTATCAACAAGTACATCTATCATACATAAAAATTACCAGCAAATATAAAGATACCATTCAAGATTGAAGAAAAACACATTATGGCTATAGAACATCAATTAAAATATATTAAACTGAGAACAAAAGGTTACATTTACTTTAATATTTCTACTCACAACCTTAACAATTAGGAGTAGGAGCAACTAATATTTTACACTAATTAAAATAAAAAAAATATATTTAGTATTTAATTATCAAGAAAAGATAAAACATAATTCATTCACTAAAAATAATTTTATGTGATTGTGAACTAAATCAAAGAAGACTAAGTACATTCAAGGATTTACTTAATTTGTGAATCTTATAAATTTATTCTATTATTTTTTTTTTTTTCTTTGCATTACACTTTGGTAGACTATTTTTTATATAAATATATTAGATCCACAAATTCAAATAGCTAATTTATAAAGATAGTGTTTACTGCCAACTCATTAGAAATTTTCTTTTCTTTTAGATGAAAAATTTTTTTAAGCAAATTTCTCAAACCAGGGAAGATTTATGCACAGCGTCGTTCACGGTGGGACTCGAACCCACAATCTCCCGCTCCGGAGGCGAGCGCCTTATCCATTAGGCCACGCGAACTTACTTGAAAATGGGGTTTCAATTTTTTATATATTAAGGTAAATTTCTCAATGTAAATTTTGTTTAGCTTCAAAAAGTAGTTTTTGTATTTATTTAAATTATAAAATTGAATTTTTTTAAAAAAATTATATTTTAGATATTTGTATAAAAAAATTAAGAATAAATTTTATTTTTTATTATTTTAAAAAATAAAACATAAAATATAATAAAATAAGATGATAACTTTAGAAATAAAAATATTTTTAAAAATCAAAGAGTCTCTAAATCTCTCATACATAATATTAAGCTGCAATAATACAAGATCCACACTTTAGGGTAATGTAAAAAACAAAGAATATTATACAAAAGATAATGTTCTCAATATTATTTATCAAAGTTATGACTTTGTTTTAACTTATTTATTTTATATAAATTATTTTCAATCTAGTTTTACTTTTTAGTTTAACTTCTCTTAAAAATGTATTTAAAAAATTAATTTTTTAGTTTTAAATATCTTAAAAAAAATAAGTACTTATGAATACATCAATATACTTTAAGTAGGTATAAAAAAAAAAAGAGATCAATTAATTTATAACATAAAAACATTATTATAAAAAATAATAAAAATATTATTATTATTATATTTATTTAAATAAGTAAAATTATCAAAGTTAATCTTTTAAAACAGACAAAACCTAAATGTAAGTTTGTGATAAAATAATACTAAGCATGTTTGAATGAAAAATAATATTAATAAAATTTATTTTATTCTCACTAATAAAAAGGCATTGCAACTTATAAAATTGTTTTCAAGACTAATTATTATTTTGTTTAATTATTTTAAAACTTAATTATAATTTTTATTTTTATAAAATCAACATTTGTTTAAATTAATCTTTAAAAAATTATTATAATTTAATTTTTAAGATTTTCACACATTTGTGACAACATGTATTTTATAAATTAAATCTAACTCATTATTAATGTCATATTATTATTCTTTTAGTATTTCATTATATAAAATAATATTTATAAAAATCCTTTTTTAACATATTTTCTTTCTTCTTTTTCTTTATCGATGTGGTCAATGATAAAGCAAAAATTCACTTAAAAAAAAAACTTAGATTTTGAAGAAAGCGAACACTTTTAATTACAAAAATTGTCCATCTCATCTTCGTACAAATGCATTGAGTATAGTATCAATGCAATGAATTAAGCATCAAGTGAAAAATAAAAAACTAGGCGCACTAACAATAGCGTAATTGGAGCAAACAAAATCTTGATGTTTGAGAGAATTTGGAGGTGCATTTTTTGCATATTGAATCTTCAAAAATGATATATATATATATATATATATATATATATATATTTCATAAAATAACTACTTACGAAGGCTTTATATAGCAAATCAAAATAACTAACACACACCGTAATAGCTAACAATTAACATTCCCCTTAAGTTGGATGGTGGAGGTCCTTAAGTCCCAACTTGTTGATGAAAGCCTTGAAGGAAGTGAAGTGAAGTGAAGTGGTTTTGTAAAGGGATCCATCAATTGGTCACCAGAGGGGACAAGGAGTAAATGAATTGGTCATTTCTTAATCTTTTCTCTAAGAATGTAGCAATATATTTCTATATGTTTGGTCCTCTCATGAAAGATAAGATTTTTGGCCTAATATATAGCAAATTTGTTGTCATAGTAAGTGGAAGCAGGTTGTTTAATATTGATTTATAAATCTGCAATAATGTAATTCAACCACTATATTTCATAGGTTAGGCTAGTCAAGGCCCTTTATTATGCTTCTAACGAATATTTGGACACAGTGGCCTGCTTTTTAGACTTCTAACTAATTAGAAAACTTCTAAAAAAGACATAGAATCCTAGAATGGATTTTATGCTTTCTATACAGCATGCCTAGTCTCTGAGAATGCAAATTACTTGAGTTCAAATTTTACTGAGAAGAATATGTCTTCAGAGGTTGATCCTTTTAAGTATCTAAGGATCCTTATGGTTGTGAGGTACAAAAGTTTTCAAACCAACCTTGTATAACAATTGACATAAGTGAAAGGACTTTCTTGGGAGATGGGGCAAAAAAGAATTACATATTATGCTTAATTGGGGTAAACAAAAAATAACATCTTAGGTTAACCTTTTGGCCCTGTGGTTTAAAGAAAAAAATAATTACCTTAATGATGATTTTCAAGTATTCTATGCACAACAATTTAAAAAATTGAACAAAATCAACAATTTGACTTTTGTGTTGACTCTCAATAACTGTTTATAATACTCACTACTCACCTAGATAATTTTTATGTATTTTTTGAGTTATGAGATTTCATTTTATTTTTCATTAATGACCATTTAGCTTATACAAAGTATCTAAGCTATGTCATCCCGATGAACAACCACTTAGCATGTTATCTATTAACCATGTTGAATTTCAAAAAGTCCTCCTCCTCAGATATCTTCTAAAAACTCCTCTTTCATTGTACCATTACCATCATCATGTTAATCATCTAAGCCTTCTTCGTCAAATTGCACCCTTAAGTTACTCCTCTTCCTCTAGGATTGTCCTTAGGCCATAATACATGTGTGGTAAAGGCTTCAGGAGTGGGCTATGGAAAGGGAGAAAACTCTCCTCAGTATTAATAGAGAGTGAATCAATAAAAGAGTCATTCAACTGTGTGTGCCCTATGGTTGGTCATCTACTGCTAAACATGCATGAGATGCCTAGTGAGGCAGTCCTCCATGGCTAAGGTGGTGGATAGTGAGGACAAAGTTAGTGGTGGTTTTCTAATTATTATTAATGGTTCTAATTGAGAAGAAGTTGCCTCAATCTACTCTAATAGGTTGGTGCAATAGTTCTTGATAAAACAGGACTCCATGAGCCACACAAAGAGCAATGATCAAAGTTAAGAAACCCACTGGCTTCGTGGCTACTACAGAAGGGGGTTGTTATAATGACAATCCTTATCCTAATATTTTTTAAAGATAGTCAATTCATTCTTGTAGAAATAAATAAAAATGATAATAATTAAAAGGGTGATTCTAATTTTCTTACAAATATACTACTGATACAGAAGAAGAAAGTTATTGACTTTGGACATAACTTTTGGACATAACTCAAGGATACATAGTCAAAATTTGAGATATTAGGATAATGAGAATGAATGAAGATAATGATAAAGCATACAAAAAGTGATATTAGAGATGAAAATACTAGAATTGATTCTCATTTGAAGATGAATCAAGACATGAAATTGAAAGTGAAAAAGTATGAAATAGAATATAAGACTTATTTGAAGAATTTAGAACACTTTTATAAAAATTATGAAAAAATATCACTTGAAACTAATATGAAAATATCACTATAAAAGTAATAAAAAAATTAAAAATAAACTTCTATATAAGAACTAATACACATTTTTTACTTATGATGACTAAATTACAAAAAAAAAAAAAAGTCTTGCATAAAAAAAAATTAAACTTAACATGTTGGATAGTTGAATAAAAAAAAATTATTATCATTTTAATTTATTGTAATAACGTAGACAAAATTAAAAATAAATTTTAATATAATAATTAATATACAAATTTTTTATATATAACTGAATGAATTAGAAAAAATTTTAAATAGAGACTAAAAAATAATATATCCCTTAAATTTATAATAAATATTTTTAAATTTTTTTTTTAAAAAAAAAGTATGAGAGTAAACCATAAAAGAACCGGGTGCAAAAAGGAAAGCCCTTGCGTGGATCAGACCGATTGGGCCCTTCTCATGCCACCTGTCGTTCAGTTTTAGGACCAGTTTGGGTTTAGCCAATGTACAAGAAGCCCAGGATTACACAGAACAAAGTAAGCAGAGCAGAACAGTCTAGCGATCGGGGAGCGTGAGTGGATGTTTGCAATTGCCGCAGGAGTGACAGGGTAATGAAAAAGAAGAAGAGTGAACAAGCTTGCAAGACTGAACAGAACTAGCGTTTCTGAAACCAGTTAACCGTTTGGTTGTGTGGTTGAAGCGAGCGAAGATGAGGATTATGATAAAGGGCGGTGTTTGGAAAAACACCGAAGATGAAATCCTGAAAGCTGCTGTTATGAAGTATGGGAAGAATCAGTGGGCTCGAATCTCTTCGCTTCTCGTTCGTAAATCCGCCAAACAATGCAAAGCTCGCTGGTACGAGTGGCTTGATCCTTCTATCAAAAAGGTTTTCTCTTCTCTTCTTTCTTCCCGATTATTATTTCATTTCCCTCTTCTTTGTTACGCATTATTTCTTAAGTTGATGTGTTTTTCAGAGTACAAGTGTGGAGTTCTGTTTCTAAATTATGCTATGGGTAGTAAGTAATATTAGAGTAGTGGCACTGGTACTTAACTTACTGGTTCTGTTCTCTTTAGCTTTCATTTATGTAATGAAACCTATACCCTATTAAGATTATTATGCTATTAATAAAAAAAATCTGTGTATGTATTTTTCTATCTAGAGCAATTAGCTTCCACTTTCTAGTTTTTACTGTGTTATTATGTGGTAATTCATTATCTTGCTATCCATGTTTTGTTGCTCACAAGGGTGATCTTTTAGTTTGGTGTTTTTTGTGTGTAGACTGAGTGGACGAGAGAAGAGGATGAGAAACTACTTCATCTTGCTAAGCTTATGCCTACGCAGTGGAGAACAATTGCTCCAATTGTTGGTCGTACCCCGTCGCAGTGTCTTGAGCGGTATGAGAAGCTCCTTGATACTGCCTGTGTGAAGGATGAGAACTATGACCCCGGTGATGATCCTCGGAAATTGCGTCCTGGGGAGATTGATCCAAACCCTGAGTCGAAACCTGCACGTCCGGATCCTGTTGATATGGATGAAGATGAAAAGGAGATGCTTTCTGAAGCTCGAGCCCGGTTGGCCAACACAAAGGGGAAGAAAGCGAAAAGGAAAGCCAGGGAGAAACAGCTTGAGGAAGCCAGGAGGCTTGCTTCTTTACAAAAAAAGAGAGAATTGAAAGCTGCTGGAATCGATATCAGGCAGCGGAAGAGGAAAAGGAGGGGAATTGACTACAATGGTGAAATTCCATTTGAAAAAAGGCCACCTCCAGGGTTTTTTGATGTTACTGATGAAGATAGACCAGTGGAACAGCCAAAGTTCCCCACTACTATTGAAGAACTTGAGGGAAAAAGGAGGGTTGATGTTGAGACACAGCTAAGAAAGCAGGACATTGCCAAAAATAAAATTGCACAAAGGCAAGATGCTCCATCTGCTATACTGCATGCCAACAAGTTGAATGACCCAGAAACGGTAAGAAAGAGATCAAAACTGATGCTTCCGCCCCCCCAGATTTCTGATCAGGAATTGGAGGAAATTGCAAAGTTGGATTATGCCAGTGACCTTGCAGGGAATGAGGAACCTGTGGAAGGTGGTGGTGCAACACGTGCTCTTCTGGCTAATTATGCTCAAACACCTGGCCAAGGAATGACTCCTTTACGTACCCCTAAGAGAACACCAGCTGGTAAAGGAGATGCTGTTATGATGGAAGCTGAAAATCTGGCCAGGTTGAGAGAGTCTCAGACACCGTTGTTAGGAGGAGAGAACCCAGAGCTGTATCCTTCGGATTTTTCTGGGGTCACTCCTAAGAAAAAGGAGATTCAGACTCCAAATCCGATGCTGACTCCTTCTGCAACTCCTGGTGGCGAAGGTCTCACTCCTAAAATTGGTATGACACCAGCAAGAGATGGTTTAACTTTTAGCATGACGCCGAAGGGAACTCCTCTTAGGGATGAGCTACATATTAATGAGGAAATGAATATGCATGAAAGCACTAAACTTGAGCTACAGAGACAAGCTGATGTAAGAAGAAGTTTGCGCTCTGGTTTAGGAAGGCTTCCACAGCCTAAAAATGAGTACCAGATCATGATGCAGCCAGTTCCAGAAGATGCTGAAGAGCCAGAGCAGAAGATTGAAGAGGATATGTCTGATAGAATAGCTAGAGAAAAGGCAGAAGAAGAGGCAAGGCAGCAGGCATTACTTAGAAAGAGATCAAAAGTTCTTCAAAGGGAACTTCCCAGGCCTCCTGCTGCGTCATTGGAGCTTATAAGAAATTCCTTGATGAGAGCTGACGGGGACAAGAGTTCCTTTGTTCCACCAACCTCTATTGAGCAAGCTGATGAGATGATTAGAAGGGAGCTTCTAACTTTACTGGAGCATGACAATGCGAAGTATCCACTTGGTGAGAAAGTGCATAAGGAGAAAAAGAAAGGAGCCAAGCGCACAGTAAACAAGCCTGCTGTCCCTGTGATAGAAGATTTTCAGGAGGATGAAATAAAAGATGTACGTATTCACTAATGCATCTGCACACTTAGTCTCTTTCTTTATTTCCCCTTCTGCATTTTCTTCACTCGATAGTTAACAGTAGCCTGGTCAACTCACACCCTTCAATATACAGAAGTAACTTGATTTCCATTTTGGAGAACCCCCTCCCCTTTTGTGCAGACCTGGAGATTATAAACTACCTTATCCATTTATTTTACTCAGAAATTTCTTCTTTTTTTTTTTAATTTTATTCCTCCTGCTGCCATCTCAAAATAAACACCAGAAGAATCATTCTACATATTAATGAAATGGGAGTAATTTGGATCTGTCAATACTCCAATATTCTTTCACTTTTTAAATTGAAATTTTGATCTATGCACTAGTCATAATTTTTCTTTTTGGGAAATTTACTTATACTTTGATTATATTCTTGTCCTTTCTTGATAAGTTCTTTTACCAAGATTCTTTTTGTCAATACTAAGGAGGTAACAGTTTAAAAGAAGGCATAGTTTTCGAAAATTAAATATCATGAAATCTCAGTGAATATTTGAAACTAGCCATTTTACAGCAGTCTTGTACAGGATTACAAATTTGTGTAAATTTAGCCTTTTTGGTTCTGAAGGTTGATATAATTTGCTCTTGTTGTTTATGACTTTATGATATGCTTTCTCCCTTATGAAACAACTCTTCAATATCATGGAGGTGTGAAAAGAACTTGTGAATTGGATCAGAATTTGTTGTTATAATCCTTCAATTAATTAAGCTGGATTGGGCATGCTTTCCTCTGACTTGATATCAGATGTAATTGTCCAATTTCTGCCCTTGGATTTTTTTTCTGCAAAACAATATAAAAATTTATAGTATAATACTTTTTCTGTATTGATATTCATTTGCCATTGTGTTAATGCAAATGTATCTGTCTAATGATCTGCTAGTTATCTTCTCCTTAGACTTGACTATGGTATCATTGGAGATAGCAAGGTTGATGATACTTATTATTGCATTCTATTTATTTGTATATTGTTTATGGTAGGCTGACAAGTTGATAAAGGAAGAGGCCCAGTTTCTCTGTGTAGCAATGGGACATGAAAGTGAACCCCTTGATGAGTTTATTGAAGCTCACAGAACTTGCCTTAATGATCTTATGTACTTTCCTACCCGTAATGCCTATGGTCTCTCAAGTGTTGCTGGGAACATGGAAAAGCTAGCAGCTTTGCAGAATGAATTTGAGAATGTGAGAAACAAATTGGATGATGGCAAGTATAAGTCAGTAGACTCAGTACGGCTTGAGAAGAAGGTGATGGTTCTCACACAAGGTTATGAGGTATGTATAGATATGCTGTATGGAAAATGCTACATTTCTGTTTCTTGCAGTGTCACCCTAGGTTATTATTGCTAGTGTTGCTACTTTTAGGTGTATAATCTATTGGATGTTGGTTTTGTATTCCTGCTTATGATCTCGCTTGTATTAATTTTATTGAGACTTGAGGATCATTGATACTTGAATGCCCTCTGTAATGTTGGTTTGGCAATTAAACAATGCTATTTCTCTGAAGAAATATATCAAAATGAAAAGTGTTGTGACTGAAAAATAGCTGGAAATCAACCCATTGGTGCAAAGCAGTGGCACTCCCATGTCAAAAGTGGTGGGAAGTGGGAAAAGCACAAAGTAAGCAGAATTCCTTTGGTTTGGTTTTGCTGTTGGACAAATAGATATTTCCTTGTAATTCTAGAAATTATCTTTATGTTGCCTGAGTGTTTACCCGTACTCAATCTTGAATATCATATTTTGGCTTTTGCATTTTTCAGATGAGAGTAAAAAAGAGCCTCTGGCCTCAAATTGAGGCTACTTTCAAGCAGATGGACATAGCTGCAACAGAATTAGAATGCTTTGAAGCTTTGCAAAAGCAGGAGCAAGTAGCAGCATCTCACAGGATAAATAATCTATGGGCTGAAATACAGAAGCAAAAGGAACTTGAGAAAACTTTGCAAATTGGGTATGGGAGTCTAATAGAAGAGCTGGAAAAGATACAAAATATCATGGACCAATACAGATTACAAGCACCAAAGCAAGAAAAAATTGAAGCAAACAATCATGTTTGTGAGTCAACTGAGACTGCAGCCAGTGAAATGGATAATATACAGGGTACAGAGATTTGTAAAGTTGTGCCTCACACGGTGGAGCATGGACATGCTCTTGAAGTTGATCCATCTCATGATGGAACTGCTGACCAGGAAGTAGATATTGTGCAGGATCAGGCTACTTGTAGCCCCAAAAATGACATGGTTGTGGATTCTGATAAAATGCAAATGACACACGGCTTTGATGTTAAGTTGCCAGATGCTACACCCATTGCAGAAGATGTCAATAAAAAAGTGGAAGTGGAAGGTGCCGGTACTGATGCCAACAATGGAGAGACCATGCTAGAAATGGGTGCTGCTGTGGAAACAGGTAGTTATGAGAGAAACAAGGATCAAGATGTAGTTGTGGAAGCTGTAAATTCACAAGGTAACAGCATGCAAGAAACCACCGCTTTTGATGAGAAGGATAAGATGCAAGTTGCTGATGGCAGAGGGGAGGAGGCAAATAGACTGTAGACTGTGTAGCCCGTTCTGATATTAAAGTATGACGGACATTAGGCTGCCTAGTTTCTCGATTCAGATATCAGTGAGCGTTTAACTGAATGTTTCATGGAGAATGAGTCCTCGTTTTTTGGAACGTATCTTAACTAAAGATGGCTTGAGTTGATGCTAAGATTTTGTGATTATCACTAATCAAATTCTGCAATAAACTGTACTTGTTCGTTGTTTTCCTCAAATTTTGTCCTTTTTGCCTTCCACTTTGTAGATTTTGGTAATGTGCTCTTCCACGTTAAAGAATGACAGGATTTTATCAATGTTATAGATTTTAATCGAGTTTGGTTGCTGTGTAGTAAAACTGTATTATTTGGTGCGATAAATTATCCACTGGTTTATGTAAGTAAATAATCATGTACCTTACTATTTTAATCTGACTGTGTTGTATTTCATACAGTAAAATTGAATTTGATATGATAAGTTCGCGGTTATTTGTATGGACCGAAAGGTGATTTAGTGCACAAACACCTGCAGGTTTAACGATGAGGGACCAAACTCAGTTCAATCTTTCATATACATATTGGATTAATTGTTCTCAATGATTTTTTTATCCCTTACCATAAGTTAAGCCATTTTCAGTTTAAAATGTAGTTTCATAAATTCTTTGTAATAGTTGTTCATTGTCTTTTTTCCAATCCTTTGCCATAACTTGTCTTTTCGGCTTGAAGTTGAGTCTGACTTGGATGGTGAGTTGTCTTGCTATTTTTATTTTTTTTTTAAGATAGGAAATTTGTGGTTGTAGAAATAAATAAAAATGATGATGATATTGATTATTAAAAGAGAGATTCTAATAGCAAGAAAAAGATAGATTTTAATCCTTTTACAAATATTCTAAGAATATAGAAGAAGAAATTTTGGAGACACAATCAAGATTTGAGATATTAGAATAAGAATGATAGAAGAAGAAATAAGAATTATGAAATGTTAGAATTGATCTTCATTTGAAGATGTACTAACATATAAAGTTAAATGTGAAAAAATATAAAAAAAATATTTCTCTAAAGATTATGAAAAAAATATTACTTTAAACTTGTATGAAAATGTCATTATAATGATAAAAATAAAATTAAAAATAAATTTTTATATAGAAATTGATATATAATTTTTTTTATCTGTAAAAACTAAATTAAAAAAAAATCTTATATAGAAACTAAAAAAAAATGTAAACTTATTATGTTGAATAACTTTATAATGTAAAAAAAATTTATAATATGTCATAATAATGAAAATAAAATTAAAAATAAATTTTAATAAAGAGACTAATACATAATTTTTTTTAATGTACGAGGACTAGATTACAAAAAGTAGTGATATATATAAAATAAGAAATCATTTATTCATTAATTTAAAAATAAAAATTACAAAAACAAATAGTATGAGAGTACAAGCATAACAGAATCGAGTGCAAAAAGGAGAGCCCTTTTTTAGGGGATCAACTGATTGGGCTCTTCTCATGCCACCTGGCGTTCAGTTTTAGGTCCAGTTAGGGTTTTAGCCTATAAGGGCTGTACAAGAGGCCCAAGATTACACGACAAAACTAACAGCAGAAGAACGGGTCTAGCGATCGGGGAGCGTGAGTGGATGTTTGCAATTGCCACTGGAGTGACAGGGTAATGAAAAAGAAGAAGAGTGAACAAGCTTGCAAGACTGAACAGAACTAGCGTTTCCGAAACCAGTTAACCGTTTGGTTGTGTGGTTGAAGCGAGCGAAGATAAGGATTATGATAAAGGGCGGTGTTTGGAAAAACACCGAAGATGAAATCCTGAAAGCTGCTGTTATGAAGTATGGGAAGAATCAGTGGGCTCGAATCTCTTCGCTTCTCGTTCGTAAATCCGCCAAACAATGCAAAGCTCGCTGGTACGAGTGGCTTGATCCTTCCATCAAAAAGGTTTTCTCTTCTCTTCTTTCTTCCCGATTATTATTTCATTTCCCTCTTCTTTGTTACGCATTATTTCTTAAGTTGATGTGTTTTTCAGAGTTCAAGTGTGGAGTTCTGTTTCTAAATTATGCTATGGGTAGTAAGTAATATTAGAGTAGTGGCACTGGTACTTAACTTACTGGTTCTGTTCTCTTTAGCTTTCATTTATGTAATGAAATCTATACCCTATTAAGATTATTATGCTATTAATAAAAAAAATCTGTGTATGTATTTTTCTATCTAGAGCAATTAGCTTCCACTTTCTAGTTTTTACTGTGTTATTATGTGGTAATTCATTATCTTGCTATCCATGTTTTGTTGCTCACAAGGGTGATCTTTTAGTTTGGTGTTTTTTGTGTGTAGACTGAGTGGACGAGAGAAGAGGATGAGAAACTACTTCATCTTGCTAAGCTTATGCCTACGCAGTGGAGAACAATTGCTCCAATTGTTGGTCGTACCCCGTCGCAGTGTCTTGAGCGGTATGAGAAGCTCCTTGATACTGCCTGTGTGAAGGATGAGAACTATGAACCCGGTGATGATCCTCGGAAATTGCGTCCTGGGGAGATTGATCCAAACCCTGAGTCGAAACCTGCACGTCCGGATCCTGTTGATATGGATGAAGATGAAAAGGAGATGCTTTCTGAAGCTCGAGCCTGGTTGGCCAACACAAAGGGGAAGAAAGCGAAAAGGAAAGCCAGGGAGAAACAGCTTGAGGAAGCCAGGAGGCTTGCTTCTTTACAAAAAAAGAGAGAATTGAAAGCTGCTGGAATCGATATCAGGCAGCGGAAGAGGAAAAGGAGGGGAATTGACTACAATGGTGAAATTCCATTTGAAAAAAGGCCACCTCCAGGGTTTTTTGATGTTACTGATGAAGATAGACCAGTGGAACAGCCAAAGTTCCCCACTACTATTGAAGAACTTGAAGGAAAAAAGAGGGTTGATGTTGAGACACAGCTAAGAAAGCAGGACATTGCCAAAAATAAAATTGCACAAAGGCAAGATGCTCCATCTGCTATACTGCATGCCAACAAGTTGAATGACCCAGAAATGGTAAGAAAGAGATCAAAACTGATGCTTCCGCTCCCCTAGATTTCTGATCAGGAATTGGAGGAAATTGCAAAGTTGGATTATGCCAGTGACCTTGCAGGGAATGAGGAACCTGTGGAAGGTGGTGGTGCAACACGTGCTCTTCGGCTAATTATGCTCAAACACCTGGCCAAGGAATGACTCCTTTACGTACCCCTAAGAGAACACCAGCTGGTAAAGGAGATGCTGTTATGATGGAAGCTGAAAATCTGGCCAGGTTGAGAGAGTCTCAGACACCGTTGTTAGGAGGAGAGAACCCAGAGCTGTATCCTTCGGATTTTTCTGGGGTCACTCCTAAGAAAAAGGAGATTCAGACTCCAAATCAGATGCTGACTCCTTCTGCAACTCCTGGTGGCGAAGGTCTCACTCCTAAAATTGGTATGACACCAGCAAGAGATGGTTTAACTTTTAGCATGACACCGAAGGGAACTCCTCTTAGGGATGAGCTACATATTAATGAGGAAATGAATATGCATGAAAGCACTAAACTTGAGCTACAGAGACAAGCTGATGTAAGAAGAAGTTTGCACTCTGGCTTAGGAAGGCTTCCACAGCCTAAAAATGAGTACCAGATAGCGATGCAACCAGTTCCAGAAGATGCTGAAGAGCCAGAGCAGAAGATTGAAGAGGATATGTCTGATAGAATAGCTAGAGAAAAGGCAGAAGAAGAGGCAAGGCAGCAGGCATTACTTGGAAAAAGATCAAAAGTTCTTCAAGGGGAACTTCCCAGGCCTCCTGCTGCATCATTGGAGTTTATAAGAAAATCCTTGATGAGAGATTAATTAGTTTGTCAGTTAGTTAGTTAGCTGGTATTTGCTAGTTAATCTGTTTTTACCCTCCTTTTTAAGTAATTAGTTTTTCAGCTCGTAGTTTTTAGTTTTTCTGTATCTTTCTCATCTATAAAAGACACTAGTCTTTTCATGAAGACACAAGATTGAACGAGAAATCTTCTTTATATATTGTTGGCTGATTGCTCGGTGCATGGAAAATTTTGCAGTTCATGTTCCCTATTCTTGACCATGTCTTTTAACATGGTATCGGAGACCCTTTTTAGGGGGGCTCTGCTGCACATCTCTGTGTTTTGTATGTTTGGTATCATTCAATTTCTCTCTCTCTCTCTCTCTATATATATATATATATATATATATATTCTCTTTTGATATTTGTTGTTGATGGCTGCGTCAACCATTGATCTTGTAAACCCCTATTATTTGCATCCGAACAAGAACCCCGGATTCACCGAACAAGAACCCCGGATTCTCAATTGTAGCAGTCAAATTGAATGGCTCATATTATCATCCTTGGTCGCATGCTATGATGATGGCTTTGAACTCCAAGAACAAACTTCAGTTTGTGAATGAAGAATTGACTTAGCCGGAAATTGGTGATTCAATGTTTTTAGCTTGGGATCATTGCAATACTATGGTTTTGTCATGGCTCACACAATCTTTGGAACCTTCAATTGTGCAGAGTATTCTATGGATGGAGCTTGCTTTAGAAGTTTGGAATGACCTAAAAAGAAAGGAACTACCAAGGAGATGTTTTCAGAATTTCGGAGTTACAGGAAGAAATTTATTCATTGAAACAAGGAATTTCAACAATTACTGCATATTTTACTCAGCTGAAAAGTCTATGGCAAGAACTTGAGAATTTTCGACCTATTCCGAAATGCAGTTGTCAGGTCAAGTGCTCATGCAATTTAATTCCCACAATCTAGAAATATCATGAAGGAGATTATGTTATAAGGTTCTTGAAAGGTCTCAATGACCAATACTCAGGATTTAGATCTCAAATAATGCTCATGGACCCTCTACCATCCATAAATAGAGTTTTCTCTCTATTGATCCAGCAATAAAGACAGTTTGGATTTGTGTTGGAGGAATCACAAGCTCTTGCATCCTTCAACAATGCTGGAAGAAGAGTCTTTGGGAGTAGAGGTATCCTGCAAGAAGAGGCAAGGAAGGTAGAACCTACAAGCAGTGCTCATACTGTGGGAGGAGTGGTTACACAGTGGATACATGTTACAAAAAACATGGATATCCACCCAATATGAAGAAGGAATATGTTGTGAATAATTGTAGAAGATGAGGAATTAGATGAAAAGAAAAGCATCACTTCTCAAGAGGAGATTGGAGAGTGTAGTTTACTTCAGGAATCAAATAGTCATGGCAATCATGGAATTAATCAATTCAGAAGTGTTTCAGATAATAAAAAACCCTCAGGTATGGTTTACATCCTGTACAATTCCTTCAATAAAGGTTCCTAGGTCATAGACAGGTGCCACAGACCATGTGTGCAATTCATTAAATTTTTTTCATTATCATAAACCTATCAAGCCAATTCACATAAAACTGCCAAATGGTAGCCATGTCCAAGCTAGTATCAGTGGAACTACTTTTTTCTCATAATCCTTTTACTTGACAGACGTCCTATATATCCCTAGCTTCACATTGAATCTAATTTCAGTATCAAAATTAACCAAATCCCTTTCTTGCAAGTTAATCTTCTCTGCTGTTGTTTGTCAAATTCAGGATTACAATACATTGAAGATGATTGGTGCAGCTGATTTGAAACCAGGCTTATATGCAATGAATGTTTCCCTTTTACAACATGCTGAATATCATCATGTAAATATTTTCATGCTTATAAAAATAATATTTGGCATCTTAGGCTAGGGCATCTCTCTCATGAAAGAATGTGTATGATGCAGAAACATTTTTTCTTTATTGATTGTAATAAGTCTGTTGAACCATGGGAAATATGTCACATGTCAAAACAAAAGAAGACATCCTTTAATGAAAGTGAAACTGTGTATTCTGAAATTTTTGAATTTGTTTCTTTAGATATCTGGGGTCCCATTGCCACTCCCTCCATGCATGAACATAGATACTTCTTAACTATATTTGAACATAAATCTAGATTCACTTGGATATACCCTATGAAACATAAGTCTGAAACAAGAAACCTTGTGGCTGAATTTGTATCTTTAGTTGAAACACAATTCAATAAAAAGATTAGAATAATCAGGACAGATAATGGAGTTGAGTTTAATCTTGTAAACTTATATTCTCTCAAGGGTATGTCCATTAAAAATCCTGTGTGGAAACACCACAGCAAAATGGTCTAGTTGAAAGGAAACATTAACACATATTGGCTATCACTAGATCGCTCATTTTTCAATCAGGTTTACCAAAACAATTTTGGAACTATGCATCCACCCATGCTGTACATTCAATAAACAGAATGCCATCACCATTACTTTCTAATCAATCTCCTTATCAGGTCTTATACAATGAATCACCCGACATATCACACCTACAAGTTTTTGGATGTTTATGTTTTGCAACCACATTGACATCTCACAGAAAAAAACTAGATAGAAGAGCAAGAAAATGTGTTTTCTTAGGTTTTAAATATGGGATCAAAGGATATATATTGTATGATTTGAGAAGTCATGGAGTTTTTATATCTAGACACGTTCAGTTTTATCAGCAAGTTTTCCCTAAACCTCAAAACAATGTTCTTGATAATTCTGTATTCAGTTCCTATCAACCACAATTTTTTTGATGATTTACTTTAACTAACACAACATCAAACAACCCCCCAAACAAATTCTCCCCGTACTCAACAACCTGCCACATAAATTGAAACTGATCAGAATCAAAACAATCAAGAAAGGGAAACACAGGATCTCAATCCATCATTAAGACATTCTCAAAGAGAGAGGAGACCTTCCAATTACCTAAGGGACTATCATTGGACATTAGCCACCTCAAATGCATCTTCATCTTCAAATGTTGTTAGGTATCCTCTTTCTCATTACCTCTCTTATAAATCTTTATCATCTTCACATAAAAACTACTCTTTAAACATCACTTCTACTGATGAACCTCAGTCCTACCAAGAGGCCATCCTACATGATTGCTGGAAAAATGCTATTCAGGCTGAGTTGCAAGCCTTGATTAAAAATCAGACTTGGACCCTCACTACTCTTCCTAATGGGAAGAAACCTATTGGATGCAAATGGATCTTCAAAGTGAAGCACAAGGCAGATGGTTCCATTGAGAGACACAAAGCCAGACTAGTGGCAAAGGGGTACACTCAAAACAGCTGGCATTGATTTCCTAGACACCTTCAGTCCAGTGGTGAAAATAACAACCATTAGAGTATTGCTGTCTTTTCCTGCTGCTCACAATTGGCATCTGCATCAACATGATGTGAACACGGCTTTTCTTCATAGTGACCTTGCAGAAGAAGTATATATGAAGCCACCACATGGATTACAAGTTTCAAATTCCAAGTTAATGTGCAAACTGACAAAGTCCTTATACGGCCTGAAACAAGTTAGCAGGCAACGGAATCCAAAACTTATTGAGATCCTTATGGACTCTGGATACATACAATCCAAATCTGATTATTCATTGTTCACCAAACACACCACTGTAGGTTTCACTGCCATCTTGACTTATGTAGATGATCTAGTTCTAACAGGGAATGATCTCTCTGAAATTCAGAACATCAAATTCTTTTTAGACACGAAATTTGGGATTAAAGACCTTGGACACCTCAAGTTCTTCCTTGGATTTGAGGTTGCTAGATCTGCCAAAGGGATCTGCTTGTATCAGAGAAAATATGCCTTGGATCTGCTCCAAGACACAGGAATTTTAGCTTCAAAGCCTTGCTCCACTCCTATGGATCACACTTTAAAGATTCACCATGATTCTGGACCTCTTTATCATGATGTTACAGGCTACAGAAGGTTTTTGGGCAAATTGATTTACTTGACAAATTCCAGACTTGACATTAGCTTTTCTGTTAGCAAGTTAAGTCAGTACCTTGCCAACCCAACGACTATTCATTTCCAAGCAGCCCTTAGGATACTGAAATATATAAAGGGGTAATCCAGCAAAAGGACTTTTTTTCCCCGCTAACTCAGATTTCAGCCTTACTTGCTTCACTAACTCAGATTGGGGTGCTTGTCCAGACACCAGAAAATCAGTGACTAGTTTTTGTTTCTTCCTTGGTTCATTTCTAATATCCTGGAAGTCCAAGAAACAACCATCTCTACATCTTCCTCTGAGGCAGAATATAGGGCTATGGCTCTTGCCACTTGTGAAGCACTATGGATCACTTCTCTTCTCAAATATTTTGGTGTCACCTATTCCAAACCTGTCAACATGTTTTGTGATAACAAATCTGCACTTCAAATAGCTATCAATCCTATCTTCCATGAGAGGACGAAACACATTGAACTTGATTACCACTCGATTTGTGATCAGGTCCAAATTGGGCTCCTCCATTTATTACCCATTTCCTCCAAAAATCAAACAGCAGATATTCTAACCAAGTCGTTTGCTCCTGGTCCCTTTAACAGTCTTATTTCCAAGCTTGGAATGCTGGATATACACATTCCAACTTGAGGGTGGTGTTAATAGATGAAATTAATTAGTTAGTTAGTTAGCTGGTAGTTGCTATTTAATCTGTTTATTCTCTCCTTTTTCAGTAGTTAGTTTTTTAGCTCTTAGCTTTTAGTTTTTCTGTATCTTTCTCATCTATAAAAGACACTAGTCTTTGTTCATGAACACACAAGATTGAATAAGAAATCTTTTTTGTATATTGTTGGCCGATTGTCCGCTGCATGGAAAATTTTGGTAATAGTATTTGATTATTAATATAATTGTGGAATTCTCATTGAATGTGCATTTGATGTATATAATGATATGAATATATGTGTATATGTGTGATGACGTGAATGTGTATGTGTATACGTATATGAATATATGTATATAAGCATGAGTGTAAATGTTGATTGTGTATTGAGAATTAAATGTGTTTGGAATCAATTGAGAAATAGGCTAAGGGTGAACTGCAAGGACATTCTCGCTGTAGCGACAAGGTCCTAGGCAAGTGGCATGCATCTGTTGCGTTTTCGCTATAGCAAGAGTGCAATAGAGAGAGGGTGTTTTCTGGGTGTAGTCTTGTTATGGCAAAATTATGCAGAAACCAGAGTGTAGTTTGGTCTGATATTTTCGCTGTAGCGAGAAATGCTTCGTTGCAGCAAGAGTTATTTCGCTGTAGCGAGAATACCGCG